AAAAAAAAAAAAAAGAAAAAAAAAGAAAAAAAAAGAAAAAAAAAAGAAAAAAAAGAACACACAGTCGAATTGAGAACCTCCTCCTTTTATGAAGTCGGTTAAAAATATAACCCACATTCTCTCCCATTGGAGGTTAAATACAGAAAAATACAACCGACATCCTGTCCAATTAGAATGTGGGTTACATTTATCTAATGGAGCAATAAACATGTTTGACGTAATTCCACTTATGCCATTCTTACATGAGGGATGCGATATAATGTAACATATTGTAATACAAGTCTAGATATTGTATTTGGAATTTTAAATTAAATATTAATAATATATGTATATCAATAAATAAATAAATAATATAAATAGTAATATAAAAAGCATTTTAATAAATTAACGCTCAAGTCTTAAATGCAGTCTTAATTTTAAGTGTAATTTGCTACACTCTTATGGGGTATCATATGCATGTTGTACCTACTAAAACTGTCCTAAGGTAATCAATCTGTAAATGCAAAATAAATAAATATCTAACTCGTTATAAAGTACCTTTCATACTCTTTCCTAATATGGAATCCAATAAACTTTCTTAGCTGTATTTGATGACCATTTGTTCAGATGTTTAAAAATCTTCCGCTCCTTTCCCAATTAGATTAGGGATCTCAGTCACAAAATGATTTTTTTTTCCACTTGATCGATTGATTTCAAATTTCTTATACAATGGTCATCGAACATATAACCAGAAATAGCTACGAAAAAAGGGTCATGCCTGGCAACTTCTTTTAAATATCAATTTTCGTTTGCGCTGAAATCACAAATTAGAAAACTGAAATAGTACAGCGCACGGTGATTCACGCTCCATACTAAGGCGGTCATAAATACGTAACTCCGAAATTATTATTATTTTTTTATTTTATTACGTTAAAATATGATTAGGTAAACGTAAATTAATAAAATTATACATTTTAAAAAATATTTGACAATATTTAGGTGTAAAAATGTCTCGCAGTAATTTTGTTTTTAGACGATGTATCTAAAACATTTTATACTGCGACTTTTAATGGTAAAACTGTGTAAATAATGATTATTTGTATTAACAATAACCACAAATGAATAAATTAAAACAATAAAAATACATAAAAAAGTTCATTTTACAAAATACAAACAAAACACAAATTATACCAAAATACATTAAATCTCAACAATATTAACTTTAAATACATAACAAGTCTAATACAGCTTTTGACAGTACACCTTTTTTTTTAACAGGTAACTTTCGTAGACCTGTTATGAAGGGATCTGAATGAAGAAGCAGCCTATTTACTAAATCTGTGTTGGTCACAATGCGACTCATTTTACGCGTATGATTTTTTCTAAAAGACTTGATGTATTTGTTAGTCGCTTCAGCTGCTTCTTCAGACAACTCTCCGATTGACAACAAACCGTAATCTATAACATTAGCACCATGAATTAGAACTTTGTGAACGGAAGCAGGCATGTTATACCACGGATACTCGGCAACTAACTGCCGAGCCGTCTCTAAAGCGAACTCTTCGAAGTTCGTCTTATTAATATTATATCCCGAATTTAAACATTGAAGGATGATCCAGCAACGATCTAGGAGATCCTTCTTGATCCCAGTAATTTCAGCGGAAATTTCTGAATTCGAGAAAAACCGCCTGGCTGTATTACCATCGTTTGATGTTCCGCTTCCGCCACTGTTAGGCTAATCCACTATAAGCCCTAATCTTTCTCTAAATTGAGTCTGAACATATGATTTTTTTGCAGCAACAAGCATTTTGTCATTAGCAGACCTAGCTTGCCATTTCCTAACATCTAACTTGTACGCGACATGAACAAAATATTCAAAAAAACGTATTAACGCGTGAAGAGGTGATAAACCAAATTCATATTTACTCTCATCGACTTCCTTATTTAAACATTCGTCAATTTTGTTCATTTCACTGGGCAAGGCGTTACAAATAAAACATTTTGATGAAGAAACACCACTAAGTGCATTACACACTTTACCATCTACCATAGTAAGTTGCAAACAATGAGTAATGCGATATTCGCGATCTTCTTCCTTGAAAACAGTAGGCTGCAAGTTCCTTATTTTATCTTTAAAATGAGCTTCTTCCTCAACTGACACTGCAGTCGATTCCTTCAAATATCGGAGGCGTATAGGACGACAGTATCGAGTTGATGAAGGACGAGGATTTTTCCACAAAACTACTGAATTTTCTTTGTTATCTGTTGTCAAAACAAGCTGAAGTGGCACATACGAAGTAACAAACAGGCTACTGTCTTCAAGAGTGGAGTCAGAAAAACACTGTTTATATTCTGAATGCCCTGTACTGCCATCGAAACCCCATTTCCCTATCAAAGATATCTTATCTAGAGACTCATTAGGTACACTATCCAAAACATCTTTTTGAGACTTGAGAATCCGATTGGCAGTATGATCTAATAAACTTTGAAGTTCGACTTCGGCGGATGATTCTGTAACAGTAATATCTGAAGGATAACAGTGTTTTTTAGATTCCACGACACTTTGGTAAGATGGGAAAATGGTTTTTGAAAACTTATTGTCTATAAATTTCTTTACTAATATATATTGATGTCGAGTTAACTGAGCTTCAACAATGAGCGATAAAACTTCGCTAGAATCGATTTCAGGACAAGACAAGCTATCGGACGCATTGAGCAATGACTGTACAAGAGAAGGGTCTTGGTTAGACAAACTAGCCAATCTTCTCCTTTTTGTACGTTTACTGGTGTCGTCAAAGTTAATTCTCGGACGGCCATGCGATGAAGAAGTTGATGGTTTAACTTCGTCAAAGCTCTGAGATACACGTAACTCAGTTCGCTGTACATCAATATTTTCAACAACATGCAGCCAATCTGAATATTTTTCTAAGAATTTAGATCTAGTACGATTCGACTTTGCCCAGTAGTGGGAAATTCGTTTACAAATATTCTTAATTTTAAGGCTTAAAGTCTCTAAATCAATATTTTCGATGTCGTCAGAAAGGGATGATGTTTCGGTCAAAGTGCCCAGGACGTGTTGCATTTTTTCATTTGGATTACCCACTTTAGAGTGCCAAATATCAAAAATTGTCATCCTCGATACAGAACATTTGAAAAATGTACCTAAAACAATATGAAAGCTGAACTTAAAAAAAAATTAAAAATTCAATACTATGGACATGCATACTTTGACACCCCTTTAAGCCAAGAAGAGGCAGCAAGATGCAAATGAAACTTATAGCTCTTAATAAGGACATACTCCTTATTCAAAAACCATATACCTCAGGTGCAGCTCAGCGCAGCCAAAAGTTGTAGGTCTAAAGGAAATTAAGTTATGCCAAAAATTTTCACCAAAAAACTGCCTTCAATAAAAAAATTATATAAAAAAAAGTATGCATAAAAAAAATTAAAAAAAATTGATAATAAAAGTACATACCATGCTCTTGGATCTCCATGCTTTCACAACACGTAAACACTTGATTTGGAATAGTGACACTCAAAAACAAAGTGATTAAGTTTCGATGACTCACACGTGGTGATAATTAGTCTCGCGATGCGCTCACTTCCGATGCACAAAAGTGAATGATAACGTGACCTAATTACATTGATATTTATAGTTTTTGGAAGCTTGTTAACTAGTTACTAACTTAGTGAGTTGATCTAACCGGGATAAGCCAATGATTTTTTTTGATTTATGGCCTATGGGGGAATCACAGTGCAGCGCCAGTAACTGACCTGTGTGTACGTCTCTGTATATTCCAAAAATATTCTGTATTAAAGATAATATCTCTAACTATGCGGGGCTGTTCCATTCGGTGGTGTGGGAAAAACAGCAAAAACATCTAATTGCAAAACAAACGTAATCACATTTCATCGGTAATTAAATATTAAATATGCAATTTTCCAATTTTCGTCCATTATAGCTCAAGTTAAACTGGTCGATTTGAAGTGAACTCGGGCTGACCAATCGAAGCGCAGTTGTCACGGTAATGATTCGGCAGAATAGTTTCAAAACAAATTAAATGACATTTCGTCTCTATTTCTGGTTACATACTCGATGACAACGGATATCCGGCGACATTACAATAACATGGTAAACTTGATTCTGACAGTGCAAAAGGGACTGTATGCAGATTACCCAACTCCTCGGCAACTTATAAAAGACCTATGGTTTTTATGCTCATAAAATTGATCTCGACAAATAATTAAGTTACAGATGGTGACTTTATTGAATTTTCAGTGTACAGTCAACAGCACATTAAGCTACACAATGACGTATCTTGTTCCGTTGCACTGGACGCGATTTTCGAATAAAAATGTATAGTCTGATATGCTGTTGTCCGTACACTGTTTTGTGCAGGGATTTTAAAGTTATTTTTTTAGGATTTTCAGTTAATAAATGGTTAAAGTATAAATATTTTTCTTGAGAATATACATTCACTTACAGAGTAATTTAAAATACATCAATAGTAAATACGAACTCACTAATAATCTATATAAGCATCACCAGTCAGTGCATATAAACAAAAATAATGTAGCCAAGCACTAATGTGACCAGTTACTGTGCTTCAGTTTTGAAAGTTAAGGGTGCTGGTAAAATCACAGGCACATGGGACTTGTCAACTTATATCTCAGGGTGACGGGCGCAGTGGTAGTGCCCCTCAGATCTTTGCGATTTAAAGCTCTGAGTGGCACTGCAACTGTTCTGGACAGGCGCGTAACTTACCATCAGGCGCCCGACTTGTTCGTTCCGTCACTTGATATTATAAAAAAATATCTACAATTAGATCCTAAGGTAGTTGCACGATGCGATGCAAGAATTATGACATATCCATGCCACATCTAGCATTAAATCTTAAATCTCAAGGTTAAATCCTATAATTTAAGAAAATTACAACAATTTTATAACTCTAATCAGAATTACTATTGTTTCTAAACTTTCCATTGTACGTTATCGCTCTTGGACTTATGATTAGAGTATGGGAGGGCCTCACCTCTGCGGGATGTAAAACATGATGGGCCGGGAGGTGCAGTGCGCGTCTGTGGCGCCGCAGTCGTCGGCGCAGGCCGCGCAGGCGCACGGCGTCGGAACGGCCAGTTCACCGCCGAACACGGGCCACAGCCCCGAGATTATGCGGAACAAGCTGCATGAGGAGAACACTCAATATTTATATACTGGTTTGACACAGTTTACTTCAATATAGCACGGTAGTACTGTGATGAATGCCTTAATGCCTTTTGCCGACTTCAAAAAAAAGAGGAGGTTCTCAATTGGATTGTATTTATTTCCTTTTTTTTTCTTGTATAACATACATGATAACTCGGCATTTGTGAACCGATTTTGATGATTCTTTTCTTGTTTGAAAGAGGATACCTCAGTATTGGTCCCATTTAAATTTTCCCATTTAAATAAAAAAAAGCTAAAATATTGCAAATTATGTTTACACCTATAATAACAATGTGACAACCCTACGAGTGACTTGTCGAATAGGCGGGAATTGCCTCACGTTTTTTATTATACCACGCCTGAACGCTATAGGTCTTTTCAAAGCGAGAGTGAATAGGCATTATACAAATGTGCATGATCCACCGTCACTTTCCATTAAGAGTTCAAAAGCGCGTTTATTTTATCAATAAAAAATAGCACATTGTTGCAGAGGTTCAGGAAGTAAGGGATTGCTGGACGAGTATGAGTCATGAATCGAGTTGCATTAATACGAGTCAAACAATCCCCATTCCCGCCGAGGCATATATAGTGTTTTTCTCAAACAATGTGAGGAAATAATAAAAGACTAAATAGAGATAAAAAAAAAATATTTAACATATTAGAACAATTGGTAAAATTTTGCTTTACCGCGATTTTCATTTTTTTAAAAAAGGTAGGTTTTTAATGCTCGCAATTACGAAAACTTAGCAGTTGGCTGTATGGTTTTTCTTTTGCTTGTTTACATAATTCATTATAGCTTTAATAATTTAAAGCTGCGGACGTCGGAGTCCTTCATTTTTCTTCTGAAGATGGATTTGGATAAATGAAAATCTGTCTTTAAATTTGACTTGTATTCTTCGGTTCTACAGTTTATATTTTAAATAAAATCGCGGCCGTTACACACGTCTCGTGCGTTAGTAGTCACTACAGAGAAGAAGAGCTGTTAAATGGCCGGCGTCGAAAACCATAGATTTACGGTTGCTAGTGATGCGCCGTAACAGTGTAAGATTTTCACACTTACTTTGCAGGCCTTGGCCGGGAAGTAATCGCATGGTTCATAAATGACAAACTTTCCGTGTTCGCTTTTTGAAAGTAATGCTAACATTTCCAAGCATGTTTGAGAAACGGATTATTTATTATTAAGAGTTTTCTTCATAATAAAAATAATCTTTGTAAAAACTGTACTTGTAACTTCAAAAACCCGCAATTTTATTTTGAGATATAGAATTTTGTTAGAAATATAGCCGGTACCTGGACTTGCCGCAGCCGTTGGGCCCGACGATGAGAAGGTGGGTGCCGGGCACGATGTCCAGTGTCACGCCGCTGGCCACCACGTCGCAGGCCGGCGTCACGATAGGCACGTTACGCAGGCGAATGGACAAGTCGTTGGTGTACGTGATCTTGCCTGCCAACCAGACGCACTTTGCTCATTAGCGCGCTAATAAGGGTTACCATTGGGAAATTTAATGTCCGGACCAAAATTCTGGTATTTATAAGAAAGTTCAGAACTCCTATAGTTTAAAGGGCATGATAATCTTGTGATTGTATAACTTCGACTTATAAAAAACAATGTAACCATTTCATTCGTTGTGATTCGTTCGAACGTTATTATTATGTTCCTCTTATTTTTCTCAGCCTGTTGGCTGGTTTGAGCCACACTTAATACTAAATGCATTATGTAAATGTATTTAAAATTACAGCTTTTATTATTGTTATTATATTCCGGACTTCTTTGTAATAAAACAAAATAGAAAATGTTTCTCTCACACGGCAGTAGAGATGGGATAATTTTGGTCGAAAAAAGAGTTTTATTCAAATCTAATGATGTATCTATAATCTTCCTATCTATTTTACGATATCAAGTAACTGAGAGGCACTGCCACTGCCACCGCCGCCCTGAAACAGCAGTTTAGTAGCAGTGGAGGTCCTTGTGAAAGAGTTCGTCCAGGGAAGTACTGCCACCTTGCCTATTACAGCCGCCAAGCAGTCATATCAGCATTACTGTGTTCCGGTTTTGAAGGGTAAGAGTGCTAGTGAAATTACATGCAAATGGGACTAGTCAACTTATGTCTCAGGGTGACGGGCGCAGTGGTAGTGCCCCTCAGATCTTTGCGATTTAAAGCTCTGAGGACACTGCAATTGTTATGGACAGGCGTGTAGCTTACCATCACGCGCACGACTTGTTAGTCCCGTCACTTGATATTATAGAAAAAAAAAACATAAGTTAACAAAACCCATGAGCCTTTAACTTTGCCAGAACCCTTACGTTTCAAAACCGGACTGCAGTAATCCTCACATTACTAATTGACGAAGCCAGGAGAGAATATAAATATGAACATGAGCACTATAATTATAATTATAATAACGCACACATTCAACACAGCCCCGCACTAGGGGAAACCCTGAGTCGCGGGTGCCATGGACACACACGCAGATTACACCCAAACTCACGAGAGAAATAAATGTAGGCCACACAAATATTTCTCCCGACTCGGGAATCGAACCTAGAACCTCTGCGTGGCATGGTAACTGTTCGGCAACGGAGGTAGTTACTCTACTGCTACTAAATTTGTATAGTTTTAACTCTAAATTTCTCGATTGAAAACTGTTAAAATACAGCCGTACAAGTTATCATAGAGATTACTTACCGAGTGGCACAGGTTGCTTGTCCTTAAAGGTGACTTGGAACGTGCCACAGCCGCCCACGGGCGCCACGTGCACAGCCCTTACGCACTTGCCGCGGGCTACTTCACTAAACACCAGCAGCATGTCCGAGACGCGAGTGGCGTAGCCAGCCAAGGTCACTATTTCCTGTCGCCAGAAAAGTCTCATTCAATAATACAATTGGAAAAGACAAACGAAGAAAACCAGCTCTGAGACAGCTAATTTGAACATTAGCTACATAATAATAACGTCAATTATAATGGTCAATCCAAAATACGTCCCACCACAATAGAGATAGTTTAGGCTATACAATGTGTTGACTTGCATTCTCGCCATATTTGCAGAGGTTATTCTATATCGGAAATGGAACCCAAATCACAAAAAAATTTCCTAAATTCTTATTTTTTTATTTAGTTGCGGTAAACATCGATTCGCAATCACCTGATCCAAAGGTTATTGAACTTTTGCACGGCACGTGCTATCACAGCGGACCGACTCTCTTACTCTCTTGTTAACTCTTTCTCAAGAGCAAGCGGACGTATCATTATCATCAGTCAGTGCGTAATCTGTCGCGCTGGTTTGAGAAAAGTTTGGTGTTCACCAGAACTGTATTACCATCAAGGTAGCGCTCTTTCTGATTATGGACGGCAAGTGTGTTACTAATGGTGTGATGGTGGTCGAAGAGGACGTTTAGTTTACACGGAGAAGATTACCGAATGACGAACAATTCCGCGCAAAAGCCGCCGCCGCTTTGAAACTTGTGAAGTCAAATGTGCTAACTCAGAAAGAAACGATACTATCGACAACGTGTGAATTTTTGTAAAGCCAATCACAGTGGTGGTTAGTGGACATTTCTAGCAATTCCTTCAAGTAGGTACCTAACCTAAAATTGGTAAGCACCAAATTTAAATAACAAAAAAAAAACATTTTCAGTCAACTTCCCTAATTATTGTAAATATTTAATAAATTATAACAATACGTAATCATAATGATAAAATATAGATCGGTTCGATGAAATGCCGAGTGGCCGAGCGCTCACTCGGGCTTGCTCGGGCTCCGTATTTTGAATTGTTTTTGAATTTATTTCAGTGTGCAGAGTATTTGTAATTAATATACCTTGTAACTGGACATGAGTCTCTCGATAGCGTCAGCCGCCGAGTTAAGCAAGTTTCGGGACGTCGTCATGTACTCCGTACGCTCGCTGATGCCTTCGCCAGAACTGCCTGTGGAAACAATAAAAACATTGGTTTATACACATTATAACACAAACACTCACTCATCCTCACTCTTTATAAAATATGGCGTGACATTATTAGAGATTATAGAGTTAAGTCTTAGAGGTTCTCATTACTTAGT